TGTTCGTTTCTTTGTTGGCTACGTTATAGTTTGTATCGAGAATGAGGTAATGGCTGATGCGCATGGCTGGAATGGCGATTGCTGATCCTGAATAGATAGAGGGAGACATGACAGTTACGAACCTCCAATAAGATTGTTTTCATATTCATAATAGAGATTAGAGAATAATACAGGCACACTTTGTTTAGGACTTAGGTAACTATCGATCGGTGTACACCGTTTCCTTGTAAACATAATCTCACAAAGCCGGAGAGCCAAGTGATGTTCAACATGGAATTTCTCAAACTTAACAATAGCGTTTTCCAATAGTATAAGCGGAGTCGCAAGCATCTCGAGCACATCAAAGGCTAGGCAAGCTTATTACACCTAAAGATGAGTCTTAGATATTTCGTAGTGGTTTATCTATAAGACGCAGTCTCTCTTATATAGCAACCGCAGCATACGAAGCGGCGCTTGCTCATAGTCAGCCACAATGGTGTGCAGACCAAAAAAACACAACTCAGTTTCGAACCACATTTCCTTTCGGAACATCCAAGTCAATACCAGCTTGAAGAGTACAAATACACATCTGAGTGTGTAGCAGTAATCAATCGGATACTATATACCACACTCTTTAATATACCTTTCGCGGTAGCGATAGTACTAGACCCTTTCTTCAACCACTTATAGCGAGGCATGCTATACTACTTTATTAGCTAAATTATTCCACTAAGCCTAAGCAGGAGCTTACCTTAGTAGTAGTTATTTTTCCCACGTGTCTCTTTGGGTCCGTTGATCCGCTGATTGGTACCTATCAATCTCGCTAACATTCAGAGTTAATTAGCCTCGATACTCTCTCTAGTCAGTAAGCGAACTAAATGGACTGGTGGAAATGCATTCGAAAGCTACAACCCTCAATATGAGCATCTAGAAACTCATGTATAGTGTAATATAACTACATGCTGAGAGAACATGTCCCCGTTCATACACCGCCATTTTATGTAGATATCCCCGACTAAGGAAATAGTATCCATGTAGTTTTCATACATGCTTTTTCTTTGAAATGTTTAAATATCGAGGAAAAAAGCCTTTCTAGTGCAAGGAGTTAGTAGTTAGAAGGTATTCGATGATGCATACCTGCATGCATGAACATGCAACCACGGCGGCTGAGTTGATCGGCTTTGCATATGGCGTGATGGGTGTCCGAAGTTTGACATTTCATGTCCGAGCGTGGTGTTCGCTGTATACCGACATTCATACTCATGACTTAGTGCTTATTGCCTCGTCTGGGAATAGCTTTTAGCATAGCTTTTACTGGGGGGGATGGATGAAGAAGTAGTTATGGTGGCGACAGTCAATGCATCTTGCTTGATGGAACTGTAGTGGATGTGGGGAATCTGGTGTAGACGGTGCAGTCTATATTACTCGACTAGGCCTGAGGCTATGTATAATATTGGGGACATGGGTCTTGCTCTTGTGACTGCTCGAAATATACACTAGACAGTGTAGGTATTGTCAAGTTTGAAGGAAGAGAGGTGTGTAAGAGCAATATAGTAAGGTTGGAAAGGTACTTTAACATATTAAGCGACGTTATATGATAACAAACATCCCTAAGCTCCCTTTGCACAAATATACAGTAAATTTGTTCAACTTTATAGTATACATCCAAGGCTTATCCAAACAGTTCTCTTAAATCAACATAGTGACTACTTTCTCTGCAAACACACTGCTTCACAATGTAATTACCAACAAAATAAAACTAAGCTTAAATTACTATTGAGAATAGTAACCTTTTCTTGATCATCATTACATTAGAATCCTGCATTCATCATAAACTATGAACAATATCCACAAACTATCCATCCAAATTCAAAGACCTACTGCACAGTCATCACACATACACTATTAACACAATGAAAAACAACATACAACAAACTGCAACTTCATCAAACCATACCCACTAACACATGCAACTCCTCCAATAGTAGCTATCCACTCATGCATACAGTACACAAAAAATTAGTTATGCCGACCCGAACCCGACGAACCCGGTTACTTGTAACTACTCCGTATAAGATAATTAATCCAAGTCAAAGATCTACTTATGTAAAAACCCAAACTATGGAAAGAAGCAAACAAATCACAAAATAAAAATTATAATAATAATAAGGTTACATCTGCAAGATATATTTATCCCCGTATCATATTTGCTTATTTTTGGCCGTGGGAACCTGATTCGTGATGTGTCGACGGGGGACGCGTCATCGCGGTCCGGTGGGCATCGGGGACTCACCAGAATGGATTTTGGGGGTATATTTGGGGAGAATGAGGGTGGGAGAGTCTGGTGCCGTATTGAAAGTGGGTATTGAGGTATTCCTTTTGTGGATATTGGATATTTTGGTGGTTGTTTGAAGGTGGAGATGGGGAAGAGATATTGGGCTTGGTTGATTAGGGGGTGGGTGTATACTCACTCCTTGCTCATGATGAAGGGACTATAGAGTTTGGAGTACTGCATATGTCTCTGTTAGGCATCTCCTTCATCGTATGAGGCAGAAAAGCTATAATATACATACGATATAGCAGGTATACTGCTTATGAGCTACTGGATTCGCCACTGCCCATCACCACCCTACCTACCTGCCAGGTACCATCTCTCTCCGATCTAGTCATCTCTTACGTTACGTACAGCAGCCACAGACGGACAACTACTGCAGGAACGCGCCTCCCTCAAGGTTTTCATCGTCAGGGGTAAAAGAAGCTTGAAGGAGCCACACCATGTGCTGGACGCGTGTCGACCTCTGTCTGCAGATTACTTACTTGACTTGGCTTTTGGTGGTGGTGAGGGATCTCATTTACCCCTGCAGGATGCATGAGACTTGTCTTTTCTCTTTGGACGTAGTACCATGGATAGGTGAGTGCTATTCTTGTCTCTTGATCTTGTGTGGTGGATTTGGATCGGATGTTGATATGGTATACTTTGATAGGGGTTCGTAGAAAGTGACAATTGAGTTCGAGTAATTGATGTGTCCCTTGCTTGGGTGTCTGTGCTGTGTGTGCTTAAAATAGATGAGATGGGTGATGCTGTGTGTATTGATTGATCAGGAGGGTTTGTGGTTTGTGATTAGTTATTGGTTGATAATTGTTCCCTTATATGTTCTCTTTCTTGTGGGCTGGATCTGGCTGCCTGTCTTGCTTAATGTTGTGTCGTGTGACAGGTTAGTATGGCCACGGAGGACGGATGGCTTACGCCGTGGCTGTTTTTAAGGGAAAAAAAAAAGGGGAATAGTTAACGTAGTTACGTTGTGGTTTATATGAACAACATAAGAAAAACTTGATATCTGGTCTGTATACTTCAGTTGGTTGCGGGTGAGATAGCCGTTCTCTATTCCAGCAGCGGACATAGCATGGATGCCAGTTATCTCCGGCAGCAATCTGGGTGGTCGCAATACTAGCCATCTCAGATCCCGTCGATCGATTGTTACGCCCCAAAAACAAGATCGCTGCAAAGTCTCTTGTAAAGTCAAATCGAAAACATGTCCAATTCTTTTCTGCCTTTTACTCACCCCTCTAACTCTCTCTCTCTTTCTCTCTCTTCAAAGTTCTCCCCTCTTTCTCCTGAGAGGAAAATTTCCGGAAACGCAAACACGATACGCCCAACTGCGCCCATCCCGCAAGCCATACCGCCGATGTTGTTTTCGGAGAATAGCTAAAACCCTCCACAGTTCCCCACCGCGACACTATCATATGAGAAAAGGTCCATGCATGTAATGGAGGAACGGCCATTATCCACCGCGGAAAAACCGTCCCATCCGCTGCCGTCCCTGGAACGAGTGGGAGAGCCTCCAGAAGACGCAATCCGTACTTATCGTTGCAACTCCTGCTTGCGATGGGGAATAGTCACCACCATTAAGGCACTTGGGTAATTTCCGCATCGCATGTAATCAAGTATCGCAATGCGTTGTTCACCGCAACCCGGTCTGACTCCGTGAGATTCGGTGAGAAGTTCTCCGTCAGTACTAGTCTTCTTCGTAGCTGCATGCGGTCATCATTACTTCTTCCTGGGCCTCCTTGCAGCGATTAGCAGAAAAAAACACGAGAGCGAATCCTCCAGAACAAAAACCAAAGAAAAAGAAAAAAAGAAGAAAAAAAAAAAAAAAAGATAAATTTTCGCATAGCTAGTCTTGGTTCTTTGTTCGAATCTGACAACCCAGCAAACATTAATAATTATTGCGCATATAGACCAGGTTCCGTGTTGCTTGCTATCATCGCGTTCTCTCCTCTCTATTTTCTCCCATCCGCCGTGACTTGGACCAGTCACGACATCCTTAGCGCAGGTCGCACCATCAACCGACTGGCCATCTCAGGAGTACCACCACAACTCCCAGAACTCTCCTCGTGAGACGATCATGGTACCGTCTGATCTCAAAATCTGGTCAGTTCTCGGCACATGGCAACTGCAACCACTGGGACGGCATTCGGGAAGAGGAGGAGGAGAACCAAGAGGAGGGGAGCCCCCTGGATTACATAATGGGGATCGCAAGGCTGCGAGATTTCTAGCAACGTTGAACGACGAAATCTTAGTCGACGGCTGTGCAATTAATTCACTTAGATCGATCCAACAGATGCAAAAATACCCAAGCAGTGGATGGAGTAATCCTGGTGATGATATGCAAGGGGGGAGGCGGAGTTGGCTTCGACGTGGTAGCAACGCAACAACTTATTGTCGTCTCCAACGGCACTCATTCTTCATCTACTCCGTACTGCGGTTGTCTTTAGCAAGCGGAGACATTAATCGGAGGATCCTCGAGATAGTCTAGCAGAGAAGTAGTGACAAGACGCTACTGCTCTTATTCGACAGACTAGATGACCCCCATGAATCATCAGATCTGGGGATCCCCATCACGACATTCCGATGTAAATGGCAAGCTTCGAGGTGGCTCCGCCCATGCTCACGGACTCCCAAATGGATGACCGAGTCCTATTGGGCAGGGAGGTCCATGATCGACCGATGGCCTTCCGAAATGCCTGGGAGGCGCCCACTAGGCCGAGCTCTGGGCGAGACTAAGGAGACTAACTCGACCAAATTTCCCCTTCAGCCCGTCATCTGTATGCAGACATCCAATCACCGGGTGCGGAGAGCCCGGTTGCTTTACCTCCAAGTTGTGGCCTTTGGCACACACTCACTCTCACACACCATGCCTATAGTGCGCTTTGATTGACACGTCAGGCCAAGCATTTGTGGGGGTGAGGATGTGGCCGGGAATGAGTGGATGACGCTATGATGGTGAAAGGGGAGATGGGGGGAAGGACTGCCAGGGCAGACTAAGAGGCTGATTGTAGTACTTTGTTTACTACTTGATTGAAGCCACACATTCTTGTCCATGTTAAGAGTTGACACGGGTGAGGCGGCCCGAGGATAACCACTGTACCCAAAATTTATAGTGAGGGCCATTTATTGCCTCGTTTACTCGGGACCAACCAACCCACTCATCCAGGGGACTCTCCTGAATGGTCCAAGTAGATTCTTGCTTCTTCGAGACCCGAAATCCGAGGTCAACCACTTCTCGGACGCAGCGAGCCTGAGGAGTCATGGGGTCCCAAAAGGGTAATGTGATGAAGACCAGCCGATCGATCAGGTGCCTAACATTAAGGATATACTCTAAACTTTGCCTAGCCCGTAATATTTTCTTCTAGTTATTTATTTATTTTTTTTTATTTCTTTTATGGGGTGTTCTTTTATTATGCATTATTTCGTATTTGCTTTTTCAGTTCCTCGCTACGACGAACGCGGGGGAAATCTTGCAGTTGTCTTGGTTGCTCTCTCTCTCTGATAGTGGCTTTGTTCCGTTGCCTGATTTTCCTCCCCCCCCCCCGTAACCGACGGATTAGGTCTGGCCGGTTCTCAACCCTGCCCTGGATCCATCGGGGCATTCAGCCACAGGCTCCACGTCGATGCGAACAATCGGCATTAGAAATGAGCCATATACTACATCCCATGGAGCACTGTCGTCACTAACAACTAGTCGCTTCGACTAAAGTTAAAGCTATTTCCGAAGGCGTGATTGGTTTGGGCCGCTGCAGCAAGGGAGTCGACACCTACTGTCGCTCGACTTTAGTCTACCTCATTTACGAGAATGACCCGAAGGTCAATGCATGCGTAAGCTCAGCTGGATCTCTAGCGTGGCCCTTACTTGCAAGGCTACTACCTTTTCTGCAAGCATTGTACTGACAGGCCCGATGTATACCGGCCGAACTATTTGTACATAAAGGGCCCTTCCCTCGACTGACAATGTATCCTGGCTGAATTGAAAACAGCAATTCCTTTTCTCTTCCTCCATTCCCCTTTACCCTCCTCTTCCTTTTCCTTCTTTTCCCTTTTGGAGGATTCCCCCTTAGCCGCTATGCTTTCGTTTGTCTTGCTTCTCTGTGTAGCGTTGGTCAACGCCTACTCAGACCCGGGTGCATGCTCGGGAAGCTGCTGGGCTCACGATCCTAATGTCATTCGCCGTGTGTCGGACGGAACCTACTTTCGTTTCTCGACAGGAAATGGCATCCATATCTCCTCTGCCAGTGCTATCACTGGTCCCTGGACCGATCTCGGGTATGCACTGCCTAACGGATCTATCGTTCCAGTGGGCAATGCCTCCAACCTTTGGGTATGACAACTGACAACCCCTTGACATTACCCCTGCCATCTGCAGTTCTGACATTCCTGCAGGCTCCGGACGTACACTACGTAGATGGCACCTACTACATGTACTATGCTAGCTCTACTCTGGGCAGTCGGTCTTCCACCATTGGAGTTGCAACCTCCACCACCCTGGAAGCCGACTCCTGGACCGACCATGGCGAGATCGGTGTCACCTCGTCGTCGTCCACTCCCTACAACGCCATTGACCCCAACTGGATCACCATTGGCAGCACTCCCTACCTTCAGTTCGGCTCCTACTGGCAAGGCCTCTACCAGGTGGAGATGACCGACTCCCTTACCGCCAGCAGCAGCAGCCCCACCAACTTGGCCTACAACGCATCGGGTAACCATGCCATCGAGGCTTCTTACATGTACGAGTACGGAGGCTACTACTACCTCACCTTCTCGTCCGGCAAGGCTCAGGGATACACGACCTCCCTGCCTGCCCAGGGCGATGAGTACCGCATTGTCGTTTGCCGATCCAAGACTGGAACGGGTAACTTTGTAAGTGCCATACCTGATCATCAATATTCAAGGAAATAAAGCAAATGCTAATTCCACCTGCAGGTCGACAAGGACGGCGTTTCATGCCTCAACAGCGGCGGAACCACCGTTCTGGCCAGCCACGACTATGTCTACGGCCCTGGTGGACAGTAAGTTGCCCCCTATCATTACTCCCCTGTCTTTGTAGCTTGTCACACATCAAAAGAGAAGCTTGCTAACAGCGATCAATTGCAGGGGTATCATCAACACCACCAGCCACGGTATTGTCGTCTACTACCACTATGCCGACAAGAACATTGGCCTGGCTGTCGACGAATACCAGTTCGGCTGGAACACGCTCACCTGGACTGATGGGTGGCCTGTTGTGGCTTGATTTCATTCTTTCTTCTATATATACATACATATATTCTGCCGGCGGTCCAGAAATGGACTCGGCATTATTTGCATGATGATACCTGCGTTCGATTGTACTTAGCTAATTACGTTAATTCGTAATGTTTTATATTGCGATTTAATATATACATATTGAGACTGAATTTTCTTTTGAAATAAGGGTAGAATGTCTGTAGGGAAAATGAAGCGTCTCGGATAAGAATGTCAACAATAGGAATCACTACTGGAAGGGGCGACATATTCCTTATCCTTATCCCTCCCCCTTCAACATTCTCCATCTTCCATCTCAATCTCCACAAAAAGCAAAAATGCTCGCCCCGTTAAGAAGCCCAGGCAACAAAACAAACATAACATACCAACCCTGCGGACCGCACCTAAACTCAATTGTGGAACAATCGAATTTCTCGGTATTTCTACCCGAAGAATTTAATTTACTACTTCCACATTACTGTGCACATAACCATTGCCACCCAACTCAAACAAACAAATCACCCACATACTGATTCATTTAACACACAATGTGGGGAGAAAAAATGATGGCTCAAATTCTGCATTCAAGCTAGCCAAGCTGTCAATTCCACTGTCACTGAGCACGGACACATGCTGCAATTTTCCGCGTCTGAGACATCTGTTTGTCGTGTGGCGCTGCCATCCCTGTCGGGGACACAGGAAGGATGGGACAAGCTGCAGCTAGTCTAGTCTAGTCTACTCTGGTTTAGCTGCAGGGGCAAACTGGCCGTTTCTGACAGGTGTGATCTGATGGGTGGACTGGGGGGATCCTTGTCGTTGGTGCTGCGTGGTGGAGGTTGATTTTGTTTGTTGGTGAGATGTTGGGTTGAGATTTTGTGTGTGGCCTTGGAGCCTGGATTGTGGTGCATGATTTTCGTTTGCTTTGGTGGGAGGGAGGGTGGTCTGATGTTTAGTCTGGACTGATCTTGGGGGTTTTGGGTGCTATGATGATGATTGTGATGGCGGTTCTGGTAAAGAGGGATGGTAGATGAAGCTATGTTGGACGTCTATATATATGCGTAGCTTCATCTTCGAAAATGATTGTCGACAAGTCAGTTCTCCTTTTTACTTCTCGTCGTATATATAATATATATCATGATTCTCTGGTTTATCATTCTCTCTGAGTTGATGACACTCGCGTTATACATGTCTGTTTAAAGTCACCGGCGACATACGCATCGTGGCACAATCTCTATACTATGTAGATCTGCCGACGATTGCTCTACCACTCCTCGCTCTCCCTCATGCGATCTTGGTGGATGTCTTGAAGCTGCCAGCAGGCAGGGTAGCAGCCTCGTTATTGCAGCTCTGGTGTGGAATCTAGCACAATGGCAAAGGCTCAGTAGCTAAGATCGATGGCAGAATCAGTCTTCTTAACAGTCATCTTAAGAGACATCGGGGGTGGCACACTTGGACCCGGTGTTTAAGCAGGTCTATGTATCACTGGCGAGGAGTTCAACTCCGTCTTTGCTTCTAAGGGTGCCATTTTCAACTACTCTATACCCATGGCTTCTCGGTCCATTGTGGTGGACAGTCATTGTCTCTCATCATTTGTTTTCTTCACATTCCGCTAGACGGAACTTTGATTGTTCCCAAAATGTATATCATGGTGGTAGTTTTGTGCACGGTGTGTTGAGGCTCTGGTTCACGCAGGGTCTGTTGTGGAGCTTGATGCTGTCAGTGCTTAATCCATCCTCTGTTCGGACACATTACCCACGTCATGTTCTTTTGTTATATACTGCTTTGTTACTGGTTGTTCCCCAATCTCTCGTCTTCATTTCGTTAACCAAAATTGACAGCCAACATTGCTATATATGTATATCTTTCTTATATTTTCTTTCCTATCCTTCATCATGACTCTAGAGCCCATAGCAGCTGCAGTGGGCGGGGTTGTTCGCATGAGAAGAGCCAAGATATGGACGAAACCTGATAATGGTGTATTCCACGTACATGGGATTTGATATAGGAGTTCATCTGATATGAGCTGTCTTCCAACGTGGTAAGTCCATACCCATCAAACTCAGAGACTGCAAACTAACAGTCTATGATAGACGTAAACAACAAACTGTGCGGTCCAACAACTGACATCATTGTTCTTCGTGCATTGGCAGTGTGGCTTTTCTGCAATCACGAATTTTCAAAATGCCCGATGCTGTTGTTCCGTCTGCGGAACTGGATTCACTGGGGGATCGGATAATATCAGGCTGACTCTACCAAGTCCTTGTCAGTAGACAACGCCGAGCAGGCACATCATGTCTTGTCCTTTAGCGAGGGTATCGTCCTACATCAAAATACCGCTCGACGCCTTCTCGGTTGGCTTTCTCAATGAGCCTGTGGCGTAATAACATGATAGCCTTGCCAATGTGTTTGCTTGGAATACATCTGGATGCTCAATGCACTCTGCTCTCTTTCCTGTGGTGTGGCCCGACTACAGAACCGATTGACCTAGACACAACTCAACTGAGCTTGTATATTCTGCCCGCTTGATCCCGCTCCTCTGCGCCGCTCGAGTATGGCTAGGGCTGCCGAGGAAATATCGAGTCAATTTTCGACGAAGCAACACCGACAAGTTAGTTACGTCGAAGTTCAGTCTGCGTTGTGTGGACTCCAATCATGATGGACTCCGAAGTCAGCTGTACTGGTCCTCTTGAGCTACCCCTTCCATCTCACCTCTCTCTGCTTCATCATACCTCATCTCCAGTAAGACCTATCCCCTCACTCTTCTTTATTTACAATCCGAATCCTTGCCTCTTACCCTGCTTACTTCCTCCTCATACAGAGCTCACTCTTAAGGCTTCTTCCTCCTCTGGCTCTTTGCTTCCTCTTATTCTACCTGCTCTCTTCTGGCTTACTTGCATCTGCTTTCATCAATCTTACTTTATCATCTTACTCACGCGTCTCTCCGGACAATTTAGCTCGTGTTTACTTACTTCGTGCCCTGCTTGAGTATTCTTCCTACCCAACGCGGAGTAAGGCTGCTTTTCCTGCTGTGTGACGTTGCTTACTAATGAAGCTCCCTCTTCCAGAGACTCTCACACAACCAAGACCGACGACCTGATTTCAAAATCAGCGGGCGATGACCTGGCTGTATCTGTAGACTTCCCAGCTGGTGTGAACAACGTCGAGATGGATGACGTCGGTGAGCAGTCTGAGATGCTGGATTCATCTGCTGGCGCGGAAACCGGACTGTGGGTCAATGATACTGGCCTTGAGCAAGACACCGAGATTGTGGATAATGAGAGTTCTCACAACGAGGACGAGGAGGAAGAGCTGGAGGACTCCTACGTTCCAATTTCCTGGCGTGAGGATGACACGGTCCCTCAGCCGGATACGCCCCCCTTTGCAGGCTTCTGTAAGGTGGTCCTCGCCGTAGAGCGAGCCTCCCAGCCGGAATCCAGTATGTATTCCCATGCCCCTCCCCCTCGCCGGACCAGCCTAACCAGGCTCGTCCGATCCTACCGTTCGAACCACTAATCCTTGGACCCGATGATAGGTTCGACGACCCCGCCGTATGAGCTCCTGGGTGATACTCAGGACTACGGTCATCCTCATGTCCTTGAGGCCGAGTAAAGTGACCGAGTTACAATCTTCACTACTCTAATCCCTACCGTCAATTCCCCTGGTTGTGATAGTAACAGCGAACCTGATGCGCAAGTGGTGTAGGCATCCGCTCAAGATGGCTTCTTGCATGTACCTCAGGCGACATATTGGGGGAACTACCGTGAGCTGCAGCGGGCTATGCCACACCAGACATTACGGCTGCCTATGACTTGGGTTGAACATTTGGGGTCATCGGTCAAGCTAGTGGCTATCCTATGCTTTGGAAAATCTGCAGCTTGCACATCACCTGTCTGATCCTCTACGAATGGCCGGTGCTACATATTCAGGAACTCAACAATGTGCTTTGAAGTCATTGAGATGGCGGTGGGACATCTATTTGCGTTTGTGATGTAGGCAGAGGGACGATGGCGTTGTTCCTCTTCTTATGTGACATCTCCTGCATTGACTATGTCTGTGTTCAGTTCTGTTGGTTGGCTGAGAGTACGACTGTGCGGCCTTGGAGGGAGAATGCCAGCACATAGCAATCGGCGAAGTGGATATTGGGTTGGGCAGCGCCGGTGAGACTGCAGTTCATGGGAAACTGATCACGTCGAGAGAACTCGTAAGGACCTGGCAAAATGCACGAAAGGTTCTAACCATCATCGATGAATCTTGGATTGTCAGGTTTATGTCCTGACAACAATATTCCAGATCCATTAGACACCATTGGTGGACAAACCCGTCCAGTAACAACACAGAAACCTCAGGACTGTATTCTTCATTTAACAATACCGAGAAAGACATCTGTATTCTCTATCACTGAACTCAAGAATCTCGGGCCCTGTTGTAATGTATGCTCTTTCGTGAGATGAGAGGGCGGCTGGTAAGTACACCCCCATATCTACTTCCTTGACTTATGTCGACATCACTGACAAGGCTGCAGCTGCACGAAGTGCCCTCTAGAGAGACAAAGTTCATTGCCACTCTGGATAAACGCCCCTGTATCTGGCCAAATGGCTTAAAAATCCACCTGTGGCCACAACGCAACAAGTTCCTCGGTTGTTTCGTCTTCCAGCTTCCATAGCAGACGATATGTTCAGAATGTGACACAGCTAACGGTATACTTAGTCGAAACTAATCTGACGCAATATTATTGTGGATGAGGTGAACTCGGCGTTCATGGGGTTCTACGCCACGAAGCCAATCAAGTCGAAGGCTGTAGAGCTGACCAGAAAACCCACGCTTCCTAAGCGGTCCTGCCACCCCGATCGACAGTGGCACCCCGGGAGTCCGGCGTAGCCTTTGTTCAGATGACGGATGATTGCATTAACTCCGCTATAGCCACGAAGGCGCAAGAACAGTACCTTCTATATCGTACGATGCCGCAGCCTGAAAAGCCGGATACTTCTTCAATATGCGGGGCACGGAGGGCTCGAACCATTGCCGAGATATAGAATTGTCGGAGTTGACTTTGGAACTACAAGTACGTTACTGTATCGCGCTCAATGCTCACTCACTTGCTAACCACGTGGCCCATGGAAACAGTGGGACCTGGGACACTATTGCGTCACACCCGCTTTCCTTTTGGCGCAATAACAAACATGCCCAGGACAAGAATGCCCATCCTGTGTGAGTTCGCTGTTTCCTCACCAGAGGGCGTGAGAGCAGCAGCAAATCCGGGGTCTGATCTTGCGGTATGCTAGATGCAGAAATCCACGATAATCAAATGTCCGCATTCTCAGATCCGGAGCACAGAAGTTTGCAATGTGCTTCAACCTGAAAGAGAACAGATGGACAGTTTGAGCACGGGCCCTATCGTAACCATCAAGCGAGGGCAAAGGGTTTTGCAAGGGGCTCTAGGACTCTCCAAGATCACGATGCAAGAGGCATCAGAGCTGATTGCTTTGGTCAACCATTACCAAAGACTGACAGCGTTTATGCGTGCTAGTACATGGCTGGATGATGATGTTGCAGTGACCTGACGTCGTTGCCAAAGGCTGGCTTCGCTGGCGGGTTTGCCATGACATATGGGTCGGAAGCGCAATCTGAATGACCCTCCACTGGTAGACCATGGATTAAACCCCTCTTAAGCGTTGCTGGTGGAGAACTTACAATGGCTCCTGCTATCGCATTATAGCCCAACAGCACATGCTATTCGCATGGCACGGGCGTCCTTGCATCCACTGGTCGTCTAACCAGTTCAAACTACTCCATTCAGCTTATCCCGGGACCATATCACGTTTTTTCTTTTCACAGTTCCCACGCCAATGCACCCTACACCACCAGCGAATACACACTCCTGCTACAGAATATTCGTCTCGCAGGAAGTATTCAATTTGTTGCAACACTCGACCTTTTATTGCAACGTCGTGAAGCAACACCAAATGAGAGACGGCGGAACGAATCACGAAGCGCCTTAGAGTAGCATGGTACAAGCTGCTCTTGGACTGTGTGTATAAGTTTAGGCGCCAATCTAATGGCCCAATACACCCACAAGACCTGACCTTCTTGTACTAAATGTCGTGTGTGTGCCACCTGACTGAAACAACACTAAGAGTGCATTTGTTTCGTCCTTTTGCCTGGAAGACACTATAAAGATGACGGGCTGTGTGCGTCCCTGCTCTGAGTACCTTGGACAGAATCGCTGATCCATTGTCTGTTTGATTTGAGAAGATGTCAAACCAACTCCCCAAGAAACCTCAAGCTATGATCTTCTCAGCCTAACCAGGCTCGTCCGATCCTTCCGTTCGAACCACTAATCCTTGGACCCGATGATAGGTTCGACGACTCCGCCATACGAGTTCCTGGGTGATGCACAAGACACCACGGTTGGCACCCGGATGCGGCTGTACGCAGCACGGATTCCAGTCGTATTTGGATCACAAGATTCAAGTGCCCTCGGAACTTTCTTCTTGTGTCCCAAGACGGCAGAGCATGACCAATTACCTTTGATCTCGTTCTCATCTCATATGGATGATACTGAGTTATGGTCTTGCTGCATGTGATCTCCGAGGATGTCTGGGCGATACTGCTAATTGGCTGTGCATATGAGTTGAAAATGGGAATCCAAACCTGATACACTTCAAAGCCATGGTGCTTCGGGACATACAAGACAGTTCTCACGCCGTGTCTCCTAAAGCCAACTGAGCGTGACCAAATAAGTCTTTCAGCTGTGGAAATGCCTTTCCTTGGCCACGAGATAGACGGTGGGCTCTGTGTAGGGGTTGGGGTGTGTGTCCATTCCTTCCATACACGGGGAATACTGTTAAGACCTCTACCATCCTCTTCTATTGCGCCTTGTCCAATCCAAAGGCGAGTAGACAGCAGCGGGTATACGCGATTCCGGGGTAGTCTGCAGACCGTCTGCATATGACAAGAAACAACACAAGGGAATGGGGTTATGGTAGGAAAATATACCAAAGACAGCAAATCGACATTCTTGTCGAGACAGAATGGTCTCCATGAGACTAGGAAGAACATTCCTTCTCAAATTTTCAAACGAGGATACAGAAATGATCATTGCCGCGAGAATGCCTACATCTTACATTCCCCGGGTCTCATCACCTCATGAGTGATGACATATTTTCTTCTTCTTTCTTCCAACTGGCGAAGTAGCAGCGTTGATGATCGGAGACTTGCAAGGAGAAGAGCATATCGAATAACTACTCGTGCAATGGACTGTGTATATCAGTTGGAAAAGGTGTCAAACCAACGACAACCTTTCCGCGCAACAGCTGGCGGACACACTCGTCAAGGATCAAATGCGGGCTTTTCGAGCACCCAGGTCAAACAAAGCGCTGCGGGAAGTCACGCTTAATACTTATTTTGTATTTAGTATGAGGCCAAGCTCCTTACAATCAGTTTATCGTGATGAAGAACTGCAAACAGCATGGAAGTGGTGTAGAACCAGCCGGCATATGAAAAGAGATCGATAAAGCAGCATTCCCACACACCACCAGGGATATAAGATATACTCCGGCAGATACAGGGCAGGATTCTGTCTATGCCCTTTCAGTATCTCTGATAATACCTTTCCTTCCGATCGTTGATTCACCTTGTGAGTTAATAGCATGGATGATGATCCGTGGTTCGAAAAATATGACAATGTCGGATATCACTACTATCTACTATTACTTGTCCTGAAGAAGGACCTGATTTACCTATTTCCTACGGATAGATCGCTTATGATATTGCCTTGGCTTAATTGTCATCATTATTTCCCTTTTTATATACTATTTCCCGCACAATTTTACAACGTTCAATGCAGCTGGACACCCCAAGACAGCAAAGATCCCAGTTGTCATGAAGGCATGTATTGGCAAGAATATATTGAATTCCTGGTTCCCGGTTTGATTTTGGTACGTGGTGTGTATTAATGTGTGTATGACAAGCCCACTCATGACCAATCTTTCCAAGACACAGCCACCCTCTGCCCTACTGTCGTGACCTGTCCTATTCATTTACCAGTACGGGTGAACTATACACTGAAATTCCGGGGAATTGATGGCCCAGACAGATGTGTACTTGCGGATGATCTGACTACTATCAAAACACCGTTCCTAGATGGAGGATATGTGATTTATATCAGTCACTTCATGACTGATCCAGACTTGCATTCTCTGGGTGTTGTTTTACCTTTCATTCCGGCTCAGAATGTACCTTCCCCATGAAAGTCCCCGATGGATCAAGGACTTCATGCATTTGCGTGGGGCTGGAGGGTTGAAGTGGAACAGTTCCGGATGGTATACTATCTTCTTTATTTGGGGACTTCGTGGTGTGTCATTCGTTTAGTCTACTATCGGGTATGTTATGTATGGCCTTTGCTTTTCCATCTTTCTCCGAATATCCTTTTCCTCCTTTCGGAGTGTGTCAAGAGCATTTCAATGGGCGAAGTGATTCTAGGATAGCAGAGTCGGGGACAATTTCGATGGATGTGAGGTGGTTTGTTGTGGTATGTGGTGTTGTGCTGGTGTCGCTCTGGTACTATCTAGGTTTTTGGATGCAAAAGCCGGGTATTATAGTAGAGAAGA